GAGGAGTCGGCGGCGAGCACCGAGATCGAGCAGTCCAAGCTGCGCATCGGCCACCTGGAGAAGGAGGTCAAGCAGAAGGAGCCGCTCGCCCGCAAGGCGCAGAAGGATGCAGCGGGACTCTTGGGCGAGCTCGAGTCGTCGCGTGCGGCAGTGCAGCAGCTCGAGGCGCACATGCAGAAGCTCGGCTGGGACGACGACAAGGAAAAGTCGCTGCTGCAGTCCAAGTCCGAGTGGAGCCGGCGCGTCGCCGATCTGCTCGAGCGCAAGGAGGCGCTCAAGTCCAGGCTCGCCGGCATGGACTTCCAGTACGCCGATCCCGAGCCCAACTTTGACCGCTCGCGCGTCAAGGGTCTCGTCGCCTCGCTCGTCCAGCTCGACCAGGACAAGCACAAGTACTCGACCGCGCTCGAGATCTGCGCGGGCGGCCGCCTGTACAATGTCGTCGTCGAGGACGAAAAGGTGGGCTCCAAGCTGCTCGCCCACGGCCAGCTCCGGAAACGCGTCACGCTCATCCCGCTCAACAAGATCAACGCGTTTGTCGCCAGCGCCGAAAAGGTGGGCGCAGCGCAGAGGCTGGCGCCGGGCAAGGTGGACCTGGCGCTCACGCTCGTCGGCTACGACGACGAGGTGAGCCGCGCGATGGAGTACGTGTTTGGCAACACGCTCGTGTGCGCCGACGCGGCGACGGCCAAGCGCGTCACCTTTGACAATGCGGTGCGCATGAAGAGCGTCACGCTCGACGGCGACGTATACGACCCGGCGGGCACGCTCTCGGGCGGCAGCAAGCCCAGCACGGGCGGCGTGCTGGTCAAGATGCAGGACCTGATCAAGATCGAGCGTGCGCTCAAGGAGGCGCAGGCCGAGCTCGCCAAGGTCGAGGCGCAGATGCACGCGGCCAAGGCGCACATGGCCAGCTTCTCCAAGGCCAAGCGCGATGTCGAGCTCCAGCGGCACCAGGTGACGCTGCTCGAGTCGCAGATCAGCGGATCCAACGCCACGCGCATCATCGCCGAGGTGGACAAGGCCAAGGCGGCGATCGGCGAGCTGCGCGAGGCCATCGAGGCGGCCAGGACGCGCCAGCAGGAGGCGGCCAGGGAGGCCAAGCGGCTGGAAAAGGAGATGGACGAGTTTGACAAGAACAAGGACTCGAAGCTCGACGAGCTCAAGGCGGACCTCAAGCGCAAGAAGGCCGAGGTGGCGAAGCGCAGCGGCGAGATCAAGGCGCGCCAGGGCGAGGTGCGTACCTTGGAGCTCGAGCTGGAGCAGACGCGCGGCGAGATCACGGCGTGCGAAAAGACGATCGCCGAGGGCGAGCGGGCGATCGGCAAGGTGGAGAAGGAGCTGGCGGCGATGCAGCAGGAGCTCGAGACGCTGCAGGCAGGTGTGGAGCGAGTCGAGGCCAAGCTGAGCGAGGAGCGTGCGACGCTGTCGGGCTACGACGACGAGCTGACGGCGCTGCGGTCTGCGCTCAAGTCCAAGAAGCAGGAGATCGCGGATGGTGCGCTGGCGATCAAGCAGCTGACGCACGAGCGCGAGAAGCTGGTGACGGACGTGGCCGGGTTGGAAAAGTCGATCGCGCAGCTGGAGAACCAGTTTGAGTGGATCGCGACCGAGCAGCGCTTCTTCGGGCAGGCGGGCACGGTGTACGACTTTGGCAAGCACAACATGGCCGACGTGCGCAAGCGGTGCAAGAAGCTCGAGGAGACGCAGCAGGGGATGCGCAAGAAGGTGAATCCCAAGGTGCTCTCGATGATCGAGGGTGTCGAGAAGAAGGAGTCGACGCTCAAGACCATGCTCTCCACCGTGCTCAAGGACAAGGGCAAGATCGAAGACACGATCACCGAGCTGGACCGCTACAAGCGCGATGCGCTGCACAACACCTGGACCAAGGTCAACGCCGATTTCGGGTCGATCTTTGGCGAGCTGCTGCCGGGCAATACGGCCAAGCTGCAGCCTCCGGAGGGGCAGGAGCTGACGCAGGGACTCGAGGTCAAGGTGCGTCTGGGCACCGTGTGGAAGCAGAGTTTGACCGAGCTGTCGGGCGGGCAGAGGAGTCTGATTGCGCTCAGCCTCATCATGAGTCTGCTGCAGTTCAAGCCGGCGCCGATGTACATCCTGGACGAGATCGATGCGGCGCTCGACCTGAGCCACACGCAGCACATTGGCCAACTCTTCCGCAACCGGTTCCGGGGCAGCCAGTTTATCGTCGTGTCGCTCAAGGAAGGGCTCTTTACCAACGCCAACGTGCTCTTCCGCGCGCGCTTCAGGGACGGCACCAGTCTCGTCGAGAGGACCGTCAATGCCAACCGCACCACCACCGCCGCCGACGAGGTGGACAAGGAGAACGCCAACCCGAACGCGGCGCCGCGCAAGAGGGGCAAGGCGGCCGGGGGCGCGGGTGGCGCGGGCGGACGTTTGGTGGCGGCGTAATCGCCGGCGTGCAAAAGCTGCTGGAAGCGTCGAGGTGGTTCCGTGTCTACAAGCGTACTATGCTGCGAAGGAATCTGTATTTCTATGGCCATGCTGGTCCGGTCGGTGTTTAGAGCGTGTGTAGCTCCGTGATGGTGAGGATGCGAAGATGATGGCCGAACTGCCTCTTGGAAGCGGGAAAGACAAGAGGCGATGCGCCTGTCGATCTCACAACTTTGAAATTCCGGCGTCGCGCGGGGATTCGGCTTTGGGCGCGGAGATTAGAGGGGACCCTTAAAGCCCTGCACGGACGCTGCTTTGCCTCCACCCTGCGAGGGCGCAAGGATATAAAGGCCGGGCTCTGTTGTGGATCTTCTTGGTTTGCATCCAACTTCACACACGCACACACACACACACACTCACACACACTCACACACATACGCAACCAAAAACAACGAACCAAAACATGGCCACAGCAAAGCAGCTTTCCAAGAT